CAGCTCCATAGCGTTTGGCGCGTTTACCACATATCTCGTCGTAAATGCTTAATCTGATCCATCTGCGTTGGTGATATCTGTAGACTGCACATGTTTACGTGTTCAGGGTTGAACGAGGAAAAAATAAACGCCAAATTAAGTTAAAATACGGACAAAAAAATAAATGCTAAATTTTTCACTTTTCGCTGTTTTTTCCAGAATAACCGGCCTGACTCAGTCGCTCCGAGGTAACCTAGAGAGCAGCCAGTACACTACGATTCACACTAGTGCACTATACTCGCACACCGGCAGTATCCCCATCACCGCAATGCAAATGGCGCTGAAAAAGTTTTTATCTCTACCGTTTCGGTATCTGTAATTTCCCTAATTACTTTAAACGCAATTGTTTTGCAAATAACTGTCATTCTGGGTAAAATTTTTCATCAGTACTTCCAAAGTGGTCGGTGTTTGGTAGCTTCATTCGACCGCAATTTTCTTGGACCTACTCGATACACCGTTACAACATTGCACACAATCGGGCTTCTTACATTTTTATTTTGCTGAGATTGTTTAGTGCCTCTAAGGTGTTTCTTCGGTTGCCGAAGCTTAACATTTTTATAGTTGCTTTACTCCTTCTCAACCCACATCGTAAATTTTTAGTTTTAATTTCTGTGCGTTTGATTTTGCTTCTTAGATTTCTGGTCACAGTGGTCATACAAAGGCCCGTAACAAGTTCATCTCTCCCATACCGAAAATCTTATCAGCCATCCGGCATTTAATATGCTTCCTTGTCCTGATGCGTAACGAAAGTGTACTGTCCCCTTTTCCTTGTAGTAACCATTGCCGACCACAGAGTTTTCTCTTTGGCGTTGCAGGTAGATCCCACACAAAAACGTTCAGGAGAAAATTTGTCTTGAAAAAGCAGCAGTCGACTGCGGTAGCTTACCATCGGTACTTTAAGAACGCAGCAGGCAGAACTCAAAGCTGAGGATCGCTAATATACGGTAATATCTTCATGTTCCGCAGCCAGCAGTGACATCAGTTTTCACATGCAGCGCACTTCCGTATCGAAAAAAAAACAGGAGCTGCAGTGCTTCTGTGTAGACCGGTGAATCGCGTAGGCGCGATGCTCTGTAACCGGAATTCGTTCTGCGGCCAAACGTTGCCGCACATGTGGTATTTTGACAACTGACCTTTCGATGGACGAAGTGGTTAGTAGAATACAGTTGCCAGGTGCAATGTATTAACATGGTACAGAGCCGATAAATTAAATTCCGTGCCAAAGCAGTTTATTTTCAGAAAATTTAAAATAGTTTCCATGGGAAGAAATGCCTCGAGAATCTGAATCATGGGGCTCGGAACGATAAATTTTTACACGATACATTTTTCTACGATTTTACACGATAAATTTTTCTAGATTTCGTTTGGTATTATGAATAAGTGCATCGCAGAAAAATTTCAGGAAACCGTTACCGAAAGCTTAAGTGTCTTTATGCGCGCCACTTATCAGTTTTTTTTCTACATCAATCATGTTCAAATGCAGCTGATCATTTGCCCACTGGCAAGCGATGCGCTCTGTACTCATTCCCGTTTTTATTTCGGGGAGGGGGCGCAATTTCGAGGGGTGGCATTATTTTTCGAACGGTATATTTTGGGAGGGGCATTTTATTTCAAACAACTGCGCATTTTGTTCTGGTGAAAGTGAACGTAGTAGTTACCGGTATAAGCAACAACGCAACCTTGCCATCAACATTTTGGAGCATATACCTAGGTACCTGTTCAACCGTGTTGATATCCGTTTATTGTTTACTCACAATCAGAACAATTTTTACGAAGCAGTTTGCGGTACACCTATCATTTTGCAGCGCTTGGCATTTACTGCTCGTGCGAAGGCGGAGGAGTTAAAAATTCAAGTACAGATACTGATTTTTTAAATCTGCAGAATCTCCAGAATTTTCATTAGAATCTGTTGACAAATACGCGTGCATTCCCGACGCTCGTAAACGGGCGAGCATCCGCGCCTTGCAAAATAAAACTTATTACTTTCCCATTTCATGTGGCTCAGTTTGAAAAAAGTGGGAACGCTTTCATCATCTTGGCAAGATGCAAATGTAGTGTAGTGGCGCAGCACACTCTGTGACTCCCGTCCTACAACCGCAAATCTAAAAACTAATACGGTGAACTCAAATGCAGTATTAACCCAATTTTTTTGCGTTAGCTCCCATTTGGAAGTTTTTTTTCTCTGACAGTAATGTGCAGCCATAAAAGTTTTTAACAGACATAAGTCATAGTAATTACCCGGTAAAGTACCTCGACCAATCATAAACGCTAATTACCGAGATTTTTACATCACTCTGCTCGAGGAAGGGCATCACGATTCCCACGAAGATGCTCCAGTCATCCTTAGCATCTCCGGAGTCCGGTGGCAGTTGCCTACTCGGCGGGCTACTCTGGTCCATCCGTGAAAAAAGCACACTATGCAAAAAAGATTAATATGATATTTCAGAATTCTGTAGCTGCTTTAATGCTGCAGAATGCCTACATAACTTTGTCAAAAATATTATTGAATAAGTTGGCACACGGTTCTTGCCAAACTTCATAGCATAAAGACCAGAAGGCCGAGTCGAGCAACTGCCAGTGTACCACGAATTTCTTTATACCTGGTGTAGGATGTTTGCATGTTAGCGTCGATTCTAAGTTACCTTGCATAAATGCTCCTTCCTTTCGTCCGACAACGGTTTGATTTTGTATGTTTTCTTATGTTATGTGTGCAATAATTGTGATTAAAAAGCAGGGTCACCGCGATTGTACCAACGTGGTTGTTCTGCTGTTCGGCATTTGCATATTGAATGCAATAGCCTACTGAAATGTCGCGGCAGTTTTTTTCATAACCTTTGCGCTGTTTGTCCTACAATCCTACAAGCTCAATGAACGTCGCGTACGTTTATTAGCCACGACATCATTTCTGTGGAAATGCGAATGTAACTACAGGCCATATCATCTTTAACAATTTTTTTGCTTCCTTTACGTTTGCTCAATAAAAGAATTTTGCGCCGCACAAACACAGAAAAATACGTGTACGTCTGTGTGTAAGGCGTTTTTCCGTGAAGTGAAAATATTCAATAAATAACATTTATTTGTTATTAATGTCGTGTGTGAGTACTGTACCCTGTTTGGGTAACGCCCCCTGCTGCACCGCATGAACGCAAGCACGCGCATTCGACAGACATTCCTCGGCATTGGATGTGTATCTCGCGCAAATTGACGGTTCATTTCTGCTATTTCTGCTCGCGCAATTTGCAGTGCAGTATATTATATTTGTCCACCCGCCTCTCCCTGCAAATGTGTTTTCCCCATTTGTATTGAATTTGAATTTATTTCACTTCGATATTTGAATATTTGAATATTTGAATTTATTTCACTTCATCGCTACTTCAAAGTTGCCTTTACTTAGTCAGAATAACCAAAACTTTTTAAACCTAAATATTACCCATTTCATGTGGCGCAATTTTCAGTAGGGAACTTTTTCATCATCTTGCACAACATGGTGCAAATGTGGTGTAGTGGCGTAGCCAATGTAGTTATGACTGAATACCGCTATAACTGCAATCGAAAAATATTCCGGTGAATTAAGATGCAGTATTATTAACCCGATTTTTTTTGCGTTGGCTCCCATCCGAAAGTTTTTTTTTTTACTCTGACAGTAAAGTGCACCCACACGTTTAGTACAAATGAGTGACTAACAAGGGCCCTAATATCAGGGTCTGTACTGACTGAACATATCTACACTAATACGAGAACTTTCGGAACCATCGTAAAGCTAGATGCTACGAGAACGCGTTGTCAATAGCACCGCTTGCCATTGGGCTCTCGCAGTGCATCACTTCCACTCTTCCAGATTCGGAAACTAGCACCGTGAAAGTTCACCGAACACAACTGGACGCAGGACATTTGGTCGCAGAGTTTCGCCGCGTGGCACATCGACGCCGAGGCGCTTCGTCATAAAGCAATAATTCGTTCAGTAAGCCACATTAAGCTGTCTAAAACAATCAACAGCTGTCAAGAAAACTAATAAAACTAAAAAAACCTGAGAAGACTTGAAATCACCTGGGAAAACAAGAAAAAAAGTAAAAAACCTAAGAAAACCTATGAAATCTTAGAGAGCATGGAAAATTAACAAAAAGGGAAAAATGAAAACTGAGAAACCTGGAAAGCTCAAGAGATCTTTGTAGACCATGAGGGTCGAAGCTTTTTGCGAAGCATAGTTGCGCGATTCGTGCGTCTGTCGTCCGTCTAAAGCAACCGAAAACCAACAGCACACACGATTCTGGATACCTTTACAGAAGCGCTGATCCATGAAGTAAAAATCGAGTGAACTGGCATCCAGCAAAGAACTTACAATTGCCGTATAGATGACTGTTGATACTGTTAAAAATGTTGTTACTTTCTGGACTTTTGTAGAACTTTTTCGCTTCATACAACTCAGTTGTTCTTATGTACAGAGTTTCTTTGTTCCATGCCCTACTTGTTGTTTCGTTTATCTGGAGACTGGTGTGTATTTTTTTTCACGTGATGTCTGAAGCCTGGAGGTGGTGAGCGCCGTGTTGCATGGACAATAAAACTAAGTACTATTTTTCTCTGCTTACTGTGTCATTTACAAAAGCCATCGAAACACTCCGGCTAATCAGCGCCAGTTAAAGCCATGCGTTTGTCTGTTATGCTAAATTCGATCATTGAACTCAATGTTTGAATGATCACACTCCCAACTTGGAAGCCATATTATTGAGTCGGAGTGACTAAATATTGACTACAAACAAAACCCGATATCACCGACATCGATTGCGGTCAACGTTTATCAAAGAAAATATCATTGTATTTCAACGCACCGTTATCACGTTTCGCATAAAAATTTAATTATTGACTGCTTTACTTATCGCACATTGATAAACGTTAAAATTAATGGCATTGCGAATGCAGACTAAATTAATACCACGTCGACACGTGCCAGGCTGTCTAATGCAGTCGCTGTCAGTCGGATATCGCCCAGGCCTCTGTCAGCTCCTCAGACTGAAGACAAAACGCTTGCTAATTTCCGTAGCAGTCGGTTTGGAAATACATAAACAGAAAGGAATTACTACAGGAGGGTCTACAGGAAGACCTTACCGGTCTGTAACTCGTATCAGTCACGACATTTGGCCGTTACTGACGGTTTTGGTTACGGAGCGTATTGTAAATGGCGTCGCTCTCTTTGACAACGCTAGTGGTGGTGGTCCTTACAGTGCCGCTTTTCACGACAGGTACGATTATAACTGTAAGCTGCCTGACTGATTTCCCATTTCTCGAATAATGTACTAACAATCACTGCAGTGTGCTAAGTGTAATGTTACGCTTTCCGTAATCGTAGCGGTCGTCGACCTTTCGTCTCCGGCATTCACCGTGCCATACGATGGCCGCCAAAATGAAGTTTTTCAGGCGGAAAAAACGTCCGCTGATCCCACCTTCTTCTTCGCACCCATGGCCACTTTACTGTCCAGATCAACGAAAGTGATGTACGATCAAATCATCGACTCATTCTACCTTGAGCTAACCGTTAAAATGTGGAATGAAGATTATGCCGAACAAATAAAAGCCTATATTAGGAAGGAGACAGGAACAGAGAAGATCCGAATTCTTCCACTGCCATTCAAGTGGATGCACCTGGAATATTCCTTTGGGAGTCAATATGCTCGCACACCATGGGAACCGATTACCAGTCTTCCGGAAACACTGGTCTTTCGCATCCGCTGCGCAACGAGTGCTGGCTGCAGCGAAGCACAATCTGTACTACAGAACGGAACTGACACCACGTTCACGGTGCGTTTGCATTTTGCGTATCGCCCGCCGAGTTATCTACGAAAACTAACCATTGTTGTCAATAACATTCACTTGCAAGAAGCGCCGATGTTCCGTACGGTCACCGAGCAGTTTGCCGAATTTGTCTTCCTCCGCAAGAAAGATTACTCTGCTTTGCTGCAGCAAGTGTTAAATAACTGCCTCGATGCTACTCTAGAGCCTGATGAATTCGTCGATCACGAACAATTTCAAGAGCATTTGACACGGTTGCTGCCGGCTTTCCGCAAGAATATCACCGTCATCACGTCCGCCACGCAATTTACTGCGGCAATGTGGCAGGCAACCTACTTGCCGGAGCAACGTCACCCTGTTGACGTGACAATGTACTGCTTGGATCTCCACCGACTGCGCGAACAAGAAAACTTCCGAACGCTAACCATCCGGGCCAGCAAGCTGCATACGGATTACAGCCTGGCGGCCACGACTAACTCTGCGTCACTGGTCAGTTCTCTGCAGTATCAAATCAATCGAATGCGCGATGCGATGATTCCTCCAGTTGGCTCCATCCAACCGGCGAGCGCGGATATGCAAACGGCGTGCTGGTTGCGCTGCAATGGACAGCCGTTCAACGTCACTACATATCCGCAGCTAGCCAGCATATTATCCAATGGAAAGACACCGAACCTGGAAGGCCAGTTCCTTGTTGGATCGGATGGGTCGTTGCCTGTTGGAAGTAGGGGCGGAGAAAAGGAACATTACTTGACTGTGAATGAGATGCCCGCTCATCAACACGGGCAATTCTTACACACGGTAGGATGGAATGATGATCCAAATCAAAATAACCGGTTCACCACTTTCAACGGCGTCGGGTTAACCTTCTACGTCAGAGTGCAACCGGATATTACGAACCCAGCCGGTGGTAACCAGGCTCACAACAACATGCCTCCTTATCAGGCTGTAGTTTATCTTATACGCGCCTGCTGACTTATCGTGATCTGTAGTTAGATCCACTCAACGTTTCGCGTTCGAACACTTTTCGTGACATCCCCGTGACCCTATCGAATAGTTTCTGTGGCATCCTCATTACATCGTATAACTGCCGAGTAAATCGCCAGCATCAACGCCATGGACGATAGTGTTACCAGTAGACTTACGCATCGCTTTTCAAGATTAGGCTTAGGTACACACTCATTACTCGTATCGTATTGATGTTTTACATGTACAGCACATCGCAAGTTGTACGTTGTACCCTGTACTGTGCTGTACGCTGTACAGCACAGTACAGCCTGTACAGGTAGCCACTTGCAATGTGTGACATCATAAAATTCTCACCGCTACTTACGCTTCCCGCTGTTTAAAAATCCAGATTTTAACAAACTGAAATAACCGGCTTTGGACTTTTGAGAAGGAAAGGAACACTAATTGATCTGTAATTATGTTTCGTGCTTACATGCACTTTGCAACTATAAACCAATGTTAAGCATCTTTGTTCAGTTTGTAAAACTCTTTAGCAATTTTTGCGGTGACTTCCTTAGCTGGCTTGCCTGTTTTGGAGTTCTCAGGTTTCTAGCGTCCTTTGGTGTCAAGCCAAAGCGAATAGTCGGATTCACGCTATATTCGTATACTCCCCTTATGTACAATGAACAGTACAATGTGCACCGGTACAAAATACACGGAGCTCTTTTTCCCACGGTCTAAGATTTCAACCGGACAAGAAATATTCAAAATAAATAATTCGCACATTCCAGTGCCCCATTTGGCTTTTTACACTGATCCAGAGTTCCATGATTTTTTTCAAATTTTAAAATGAATTTTAAAATTTTTGAAATTCATTTTAAAATTTGAAAAACATGCTAGAACAGTGGATCGGTGTAAAAACGATCTTCATGGCCATGTGCATTTACGTGCGAAATTCGAAAGAGATTGGTTCGTAATGAGACTTTTGGTACGCCTGAATGCATTTAAACTTTTTGGAATTTTCTAAGAGTCATAACACTCGAACCGGATGTTGCGCGCACAAACGGTTTTCACGCTTGTGTGTACAAATCATCTGACTACAGAATGTCATAAAACGAAAGAAAAAAGGGTTTTGGAAGTGCGCGAAAGTGAAATATTTCCTGCATGTACACGATTTTGGTACCATGTACCGGGCCACTTCCCTTAAGAAAACGGCCTAATATCCTCTTTTCGAAACTATCGCAAGCCTAGATGCAACTGCACGTCTCACAAACGGAATTCTTTTTACAGGTTTGATCCAATTACGATATTCATTGGCATTGCGTTGAACTATTCATTTTTATTAATAATCTTTGCACAGTTCAGGTATAAAGGAGAGTTACATTGCGTTTATCTGTACAGCATCGTAGTGCAAAGGCTTCTACAGATTTAGTGTCCAGTCTATGATGATTAATGCATGGAATTTAAATTCTCAAACATAGCACGAAGCCATCGTTCAATACTATCGTTCCTAATTTCAAATTTTTTCCCTCAGTCAAAACAGAAATAGAAACCCAACGCAGCCGAATTGATTAATTCGGCTGATTAATCAGCCGCGTCCAAATGAGTTAAAATTTGAAACCTTTGCCTCTTGACATTCTGATCAATATAAAATCGAGATCACGACCAGTCAATAATGTCTCCAGCAGTAAAGGATCGATCCCGTTTCCCCGAATTATGAAATGTACTGCGCTGCTCCCTCTAACTGAACCTGCGCACCGGAAATGACATTACTGCAAGTCTGCAACTAGGCGCCATCTGGAAAGCGCAATATCTTCGAAATATTGGATGCGTTACGCGGCAACACCGGCAGTCTGCCGTTCCTCAACAGATCTCTAAGGTGACGCTGCTCCATGGGATCCAGAATTAGTGCATCGCGATGCACCGAATACATTCTTGTTCAATCGGTTAAAAAGGTCTGTGCACGTTGGGCCGTTCGCCAGTGATTTACCGGGTCGTAGTGAAAGTGCCCTAGGCCTGCTGAAAATGGCGAAGGACCTTCCGGGCGAAGGAAAACCTTTCTGCTTGTTAATCCTCCCAAATTTCACCCACTCCATTTCCGCATGATGTACAGTAGTTGCATTTTCGCAGGTATGCAACTACATTATAATGTACAGATAGGCACACTAACAACAGCATAAAATACAAAAGATCGTAGAACAACGGCCCAAATGTACTGTAAATCTCTATGTTCGAATGAAGATCGCTGCATGCTCGTAGTAAACATTGCAACAACGGTCGCAGTGTCGTGTTCAGAGAAATTCCTGCAAATACCGGGTGATAGATTTTTTTATATACTGTGGACTAATTGGTAAAACGTTCCGTACAGATACAACCCCAAATAATGTTAACAGCAGGCTTAAATAACGATACGAGTATGCCGGGATTTCCACCGCGCATACCCATCAGGGTGCCACAACTGATGCAAGGTGTGCATACGTTTGCACGAGCAAGCCGTGAAAGCCTTTTAGATTTGCCAAAGCAAAATTTTCTTAGTCAGAGTAACTTATAAGCAAAATGTGCCAGTTGAGCTGCTCGGAAATCCCAATCTTGTGGCCTCTGGGCATCGAGTGCACAAAACAAGCGGCCACAATTAAACTTTTTTGAACCGTAATTAATTACAAAGATATCCAGTCGGTCACTTGAGAAACATCATTTGCCAAGTATCGGTTAAATAGGCAAATATTCGACGTTTACTTTATAATTATAGCCCCTCAACCGACACAGAACTGGGTTGATAACAGCAATCCTAACGCAAGAAAAAAATAGGTTGAATTCGCCTGTTTGTTGTGACCATGGGAAGTAAACAACGCCTACTCGTAGCATTACAATTATTAAAGTACTAAGGTAGGTATTAGTTAAGATGTACTGCATTTGAACTGCATACTGATACTGCATTTGAACGTTGCGGGGTTTTCGCCTTTTTTTCTGCTATGTCGGTAATAATTATATAGAGTAGTGGTAGACAGCATAAGAACGGCAAAATTTAGAAAAAGAGTAATAGTATTTTAATTAAGTTTCCTTGATTGTGAAAACTTAATGATGTTTTTTACTTGTGCAGTAAAATGCAGGAGCCGAGGTAATTTCTACCAATTTACCGTTTTTTTTCTACCCGTTTTAGTTGCTTAAAGCGGTGCAATATTGTACCACGCCTCCAGTGACCTTTCTCGCACAGTGACGCGTGCACGGCGATCGCACGCGATGCCGCAAATTGGTTATCTTGGATTATTCTACATAGTCTACACAGTCTTGTTCGTTTCTACATAATATGGCTATATCTGTAAGCCCACCTGTACTCGTATACAGATTACGAGTTTGGTCATGTGATGTATACATATGCCATCAAGTGTCATTTCGGAAGTGCATGTGCCATCGTACTGATTTTTTATTACCGTTTTACTAGAAAATGCTGCACAATTAACTAGCCGTTAGAATTAGTTAATGTAGTTTGTTAGATTATCGTTTAAGTTTGCTTTCATCGTTAAATTGTATTGTAAAAAAAGAAAAGCGCATCAGTTTACGTTAATGTGAATCGAGAAGACTACAGACTTCCGTTTTTCCCCGTAACCGCACAATGCAGCAATCATTCTGTTGACACAGTTTCCATGCTGTAATTGTAAGTTGATGATTGAGATTCGTTTATGAAGTGCAACGTAGTGTGATGGCTGCAGTGGCGATATTGTGTGCCTCTTTTCATTTAAAATCACCAAAAAATTATTGATGCCTTGCAATAAATATCCAGTTTTTTTCATAACAAACAAATACGTTTAAGCAGTAAGGAAGTTTTACACTCAGTAAACAAATTTCAGTAAACACTCGACTATACACAATCCTTATTTGATTAACGCGTAGTAACCACATTTTTCTAATAAATTGTTAATGGCTGCTTCTTACTCTTATAGACTTAACATTAGAAACATGAGGTGCTTGATAAAAAAATTTATCAAGCACTTCATCGGTGCCTTTTCAGCCGTTCCTCGGTTTTCCTCGGATATGCGCCCTTCTTAGATGGCAGCACATCACGGTTCGACCACAGACCTATGGTATGAGCCTGGTGTGCTAACCTCAAACGGAGAGGAACACAGCAAAAACGAATAAAACGATAACACGAATGGAGGATGCGGTGAGCCGAGCTGCCCTTGGAGGATCGCTTCGTCACGCTACGAGGACGTAGCGAAAGCTGCAAAGTGGGTGTGAAGAGAGAAGCGGCTCACGTAAAGCGATGAAGTCTTTCAAAAGATTTCAGTGTGTTGCTCCGTGGTGCAGTGGTACTGCGGCTACTTCTGCCTACGCGGATCTAACGACGTAGCCGGGGTTCGATTCCCCCATCGGTGCCTTTTTCAGCCGTTTCTTGGTTTCCCTCGGATTGCGCCCTGCTTAGAGTCCTTTTCCGAGTCTGTAACCATATTCGAACCCGTATCCGTAGCACTCGAAATACGCTCTAAAAAGGTTAAATAAACAGCGCAGACAGCAACCGAAATGACGGAGGAAGCGACAAAATATTATAAGTCACAAGTGTAGGTTCTTTAGTGGGGATATGATGTCAGTTTCTAATACAGCGCAAGGCGATAAAGCATAGTAAACCACCTTAAACAATTTTAAAAACAGTGAGACAGCAGAATAAGCGACATATTAGCACATCTTCCTGTCACATACCTTGTATGCCAAACATCCATTAATTTGCCCCAGAGAACTGTTAGACAAAACCTTAAACTAGTTGACCGACAGTTTAATGGTAACGGATGCAATATTATAGTTTTTGTTGACAGATAGCACGCAACAACGTATATTTCAAGAGCCCCTCATTTTAATGAAACATTCCCTAGTGCTTTTCAAGCATTCTAGGGGTGCCGTTTTTAAAAGAACATGCAAGTTGTTCCAGCTGGATCGAAACAGACCTGCAAAAGCAAGTTTCTTTAACAACGATTTCAACTTTTACCTGCCATTTTCGTGGTAACCTTTACCTCAATCACTGTAGACCCGGCCAGGTAGGGTGTATTTACCGTCTGAGATGGCGCAACGGAGAAAAGTAGCGTCTGACAGCCCGAATAGTTTATGACGCCGGGATAATTTGAAGCCCCATAGATCCCGGTTTTACTTGATGGTGGAAAGTTGAACAAAGAGTTGTAATTACTGATTAAAATTGCACCCGGATTGGCGCCATAATCGAGGACGGCCGGCGAATAGATCGCGGGGGATCCGGCTTGGCTGGTTAGATCAGCTAACGAAGCGCCGAGACCGCTATAGTCTACCGGTAAATCCCATACCAAATCGATCCCGTCCGGTACATTACTTGCCTAAAACAGAATGTGGTGGTGGGAAACAAATAGCGGGAAATAAACGAATGTTTCAGGTTGAAAACTCCAATTTACTTAAATAACACTGAGCATAGGTTGCGTGAATTAAGCAGTGTGCGCTATTCTAAACTGAACTGGTCGACAAGCCAAGCGGCAAAAATCCTGCCAGAGATTTTCTCAACTGCTGGTTTGATAGCTCGATAAATACTGCATTTATTGCACTAAAAAAACTTTTCTGTACTCTGTACGCTCAAAGTACACCGGGCTTCATATTTCATATAGGTGGCAACACGTATGTTCCAATTGATAACAGTGCACCTTGAACTTCTTACCGTTAGGGTTAACTGAGGGTAGTCGAAATACGTCATAGTCGTCGGGTCCGGAGGTAATGCAGGGCAGAATGTTGTGCCATTGGGTGGTCCGGTCAGTCTTATGGCGCAACTGGCAAAATTGAACTGCCACGAGAATAACAGTATATATCAGCGAACGTTAATTAAGTAGGTATTTACGGCATGCTCTGACTGCCTGTTCTTGGGCGTGGCTGCAGATTCGCAGGCAACTGGCTACACTGTTTCTACTGTGATTTCAGTTTTGGGTTTTTCGCTTTTGCACTCGGAAAGGCTCAACATCGAACTAAGCCAGTTTGGAATCCGGTATTTTCCAGATTCTGTTCAGCGCAGCCAAGGTTGTATGAGGACCTAATTGACTTTACATCGTTTTCCCAGGCTCCCAGCTACAGTTGCACAGCAAGAAGCTCCTGTTAAGCTCTGTCCGTGCAGTTGCAGTTGAAGTGCTTAAGCGGCACCGCTAACGTTATAATAAACGTGGAGCTTACTGTGGAACATAAAGCTGGCTTCTATCCCAAAATGCGGCAGATTATGGACTTACGCTTACCGTAACATTGACGGAACTGGACAAGGAGAGGCTAAGGCCAAGATTAAAGTATGTAAACTGATAAACTTGGGTCACCGGCTCCATTGCTGCATCGAAACTTCTAGAAATCTGTCCCGTAACGGGGTTCACGGCAATCAGCTGTCGCGTGTCTCCATTGCTGCTGTACAGTAGATCAACATGGATGTAGTTTCTGGAAGTACCGTTGTCACAGCCATTCCACAACTAAAGTACCGAAATTATAACGGATACCGTAATAACGCAAATCAGCAACCGTAAAAATTAGCATAAAAACGGAAATTTGTGTTGTTCTGTGAATTGTGTATACAATACTTTACTGTAGTTGGCAAATGCAAACAGACTGTAGCTTATAGCTAGCATGCTACCTTTTACTTTAGCTTGGTACCATGAAGCGTCTTTGTTCGCACATGAGAGCGATCATAAGCAGCGAAACCATCTTATAAGGTGGTTCAGCTTCTTATAATCGCTTATAATAATTATTACCATTCAGTACAATTATTATTGTCCTAATTTCCTAACTGGATGCAGTGCAGCACAGACGGGCATTATGTTGTTTTTCAAGCCAGTAAACAGCCCACAATTCAGCGGAGTATTGGAAGGTAGTTGAGCACTTACCGTTAGATCGATCTCCTCAACGTGCGTTAAGGAATAGTTGCATGGTATATCCACACATCTGGCTGATGCTGAGATCCGCAAGTCCCGGCACATTGGCGGAATTTCTAAGCATGATGTGCATCCATGACACGGCAATATCCAGCTACTGCCCACAATGCACACAGCAACAGGGATAACGATCAAACAGAACAGCTGCATGCTACACTCTACAGACGACTTACACGAAGAAAAAGCTCCAGTTTTTTAATACTTTAGTATGGGATTTGTTCGCTATGGGCATCAAAGGTATTGGATGCTTATATTCAGGTAATGCTGTATCTTCACTCGCTACACACTTCAGATTTTTATTGGACTATTTTACAAGCGACGCACTTTTACAGTATACACAGGAGCCAGCGTTAACGTTGGCGCCTCATTAAATACGTTTTAGTGGGTGAATAGTAAACAAGTAAGGAATAATATGCCGCAAAGACTTGATGCTAACTGTTTGCGATATGTTTTGTCGGGTAATCGGAAAGGGCGGCAATTAAAATTAGTACACGTGAAAATATCGGGTCCAAACGGAGAGGCGCAAACACATCCTCCTCGGTTGATTGTTTAGGTGTCAAAGTATCTACACTCTGTACATATCCGGCAACACAAAGCCACGCTTTATGTGTTGGCTCAGCCATCAGGAAGCCATAAAGTCTTTATGAAGATCCCGTTATTCTCAGACAGGTAAGACGTCCATGGTTTCTCACGTTCACTTTATGGCAGTATAAAATTATTTGCACATAAAAGATACCTGGATTCATCTATCATCAGTGCGGTTATGAATTCCTACGTAAATACCACGTGGAGTCTTAAGGGTTATTACGAAACCGGTCGTCTTCTACTCCGCCCGGTGAAACATTCCGACAATCAGTCGGCATCTGAGCGCGAAACCCTCATAAACATGAGAACTGCCGAACTCTGGACACTCAAGAAGAAAAAACGGATGGCTCAGCAGTCCGGCATTACCATATGCCGGGCTGCTAACAGGAGCGACTTTTTCACTGCGGCATTAAAGGGTGTATCACTGTATCTCCTGTATCTTGCTAATTTTCGTATGTATACTCGGCTTACATGAAGGCTCTTCGTAAATCGTGTTCTTTCTCAAGCTTTAGTTTGCACTGGAAAAAGCTACTGGAACATTTACCGGCTAACGATACCACTAATACTACAATCCTAAAAATGAGATTTTGCGGCACACTGCTGCTGTCTGTAAAATTTTTGTTCGTTGCATTGTTAATTACCAAATTATTCGCCACTCAAGGTATCACAAAAAGATTAAAAACTAACGAAATGTAATGAAACAACAAAACAAAATTGATAGATAAGAAAAATTTTGGGAAAGTGAAATATGTTCGATTTAACGGCGAAATTTTTTCAAAAGAGCTTTCATTGTGCAGTCAGTTCTACGCTCTCGGCGCCCGTTTTTATATTCTGCCACTAAACTACGACAATTTGCAGTTTAACAGGTACCGGCCCAATTTTTTAAAGTATTCCGAAACTGGAACGCACAGCAGAGTTATCTTACCAGCACCTACCAGCAAAGGGACTGCCATAATTGCCGTACTTTAACGGTGGAAATCTAGCGCATAATTGAGAAGTAAGAGACACAATTTCTTTGCAGCCGTGAGAAACATGCTACCCGGAAACTTATTATTTCATAACTCTGGTACTTCCGTTTACGTGTCCAAGGGATGAAATCATGGGAATAATTTATTCAATAAAAGATTACCAACATTTCTTGGTACAGTGCAAACGCCAGAACATACAACGGACATTTCCTGAGTGAGGGCAACAGAAACAACGGAAATGAGGACGACAAGAAAACAGAAAAGCAACATCCAATCGAAGTGTTAGGTCGATGCGCCCGAGCCCCCAAGAGCAAGAGCATTCGAAACTGTTTTACCGAACTGTTGTCGAAGTGCATCTGTACGAGATACATATTTCTCGAAACAATTGCTGGACCAGTTTCCTTGTGCCTTAAGTTCATCAATCGAAACACCACAAGAAGCGGCAAATGTGGTACCCCCTCTGCGAAAGGAGTGCACCGAGAACTGTTTAGAGTCGTAACCCGTTGCTGCTAAAAGTAAACGCAGCGTATTCACGAAGCGAGACGAGGTATAAGGAGTTTTATTTCCGGAGGCGTCAACGTACATTAATGCCGGTTCCGAAGGAGACAAACTGATATTCTTGCGATACGATGCAAAAGCAACCACTGGGCACAGAACAGAGCCAGGTACCGCGCGAACTGGAACTGATACAAATTTTCCTAAGAAGCGAGAAGTTTTTAAATGCGGCACAGTAAGCAGAATGCTGTTATTTGACAGCCGAACATTATTAAGGCGAATGTATTTCGAGTTCGACTTGCTGTAAAAAATATTACTTTTTCGTAATAAAGAAAAGAATGCAAACAAACATGAAACCCAGAACACATGCCGCTCATTTGCGTTCACCAGATTTAAATTGCGGTAGATTTCCTGCAGATGCTTAACACTTATACCTGCTTTTGCGTTTGGGCACTCGTACCTACTTCTTTTCAAACCGGCTAAGCCAGTTGTACCGAAAAATGTTTGAGGTTTGGAGCGGCCTTACCGATTAAGTTCTGCAGCGATGTTAAGGCGGCGAGGTAATTCTGAACCGAATTGTATTCCATTGTTTTCGACAAATATGCAACGTAAAGGCACACTGTGTTAACTGAAGCCGGCACCGCGGTTAGAGTATGCTTTTCACAGAAGTCGAGGAATTTTTGCCACTGGCATCTACGAGTCTTTTGCGATCCGCAAGCCAGAGCTGAACGCTGTAATCTTTTCAGGGTCGTCTTCAGAGAACTGATTCGGGTATCTAAAAAGGCACGACGAAGTTACTTTTGCAAAACTTTCTTCTCGACGGAAATAAGAATGAAATATCGACTCAAATTTATGGTCAGTTAAGAATGCGACTGAGTGCGTCCGCTGCAGTGTTTGATTCGCCTGGTACATGGCGAGCAGTTACGATAAAATTAAAATCGCAACCGGCATAGAATACAAGCTTCAACCATTTCAAGGCTTGCGTATTTTTACACGTGCCGCGATTAATGAAACTGACAGTCGAAGCATCGTCACTTAATATTACAACTTCCGCATTACGAAACATCTGGCACCATACCAGAACAGGGAGGCAGGCGGCGATTAGCTCAAGGTAGTTAATGTTGTCGCGCAAGGAAATATGTACTATGGGACTTGTTAACCAACTCGGCCACAATTTACGGTTCCCAGGCATTTCGTTGCGAGACCAGGAGCCCGCGAGCCAGCTGTCACCCATTACCGCACCGAAGCCTTGGAACGAAGCATCACAAGTGATGTACACTTTACGTCTGTAATTTCCAAAGGCATAATGGTAGAGACCATTTAGTTTCGGAGAGACTTTTATCCACCACAAGAGTTCGGTGCGAATTATATCGTCAACCGGGTAGAGAGCATCGCTATCGTTTAACGATTTTAAGGCGTCAATAAAAATACGTGAGAAAATACGGGCACCACGAATCGCCCTAGAAGCAAAACTCAAATGGCCTACGAGACACTGCAACTGCGATTTTGATACGAACTGAAGATTACTGTATTCTTGGCAAAGTTGAGTCAATCTACTTATTTTATCTTCAGGCAGTATAATTTTTTGATTAACCGAGTCGATCAATAAACCAAGAAATCGAACGTTCTGCGTCGGACCGATGACCTTATCCCATTTTGGTGGGAAACCAAGGCGAATTAGCAACTGAATTAGGAACCTTTGTGCGGCTAAACACTCTTCATATGAATCCGCTATTAACAGAAAATCATCGAGATACGGGATTATCTTAAAACCTTTTTTTCGAACATAGCGAGCTATTGCTACAGAAATCCTGTTGAAGATAGCGGGGGCACAAGCAAGTCCGAAACACAGGCAGTTGTCTACCAGAAAAACTGCCTTTCTGCCGAATGACCAGCGTAAACCCTGATACTGACGATGGGGCGGGTAAACCGGAACTTGACGGTACGCTTTTCGATGTCAACAACAGAATAATAGCAGTTCTTCGTGCTCAACGAGACTGCGTCATCAATCGATAGAAACGAAAAGCTTTCGTGTATCATGTGCGAGTTTAGCGAATCGCCGAAAGGCCGACTACAATCGGTTATTGGCCGTGGTTGCGTGCTGTCTTTTTTCGGCACGGCACCAATTGAATGAATACGTGTTGGGGCGAAATTTACTTCTGATAATTTACCGCACGCGATTTCATCTAGAAAAATTTTGTCCAGTAAGGGTTTTACTAACGGATTCAAAACGCTGCTATAATTTTCAAGCCTAACTGGAGAAATTACTGTACCGTCTGGAACAATTTTAAACCCGTGTTTAATTCCGTCGAGCAAAAATGTTTTCTCTTCATCATCGGAAAAGCAATCGATTCAGTTACTGTAATTGCGAGAGAGTGGACTGCAGAACGTGACTTCGTTATCAGCTGAGCAACTTCCGAGACTTTTATCAGTTAAATCACAAAAAGTATTAGGTAGCAATGAGTAAACCGTTGGAAAATCAGATAACTTACCATGTTGCGAGGGTTGAGAGTCGACCAAAATTTTAGAAATTGCGAAACAAGACTGACCGTTCGGAGAGTCATAAACAGAGAAACCATTAAAACTGACGGAATTGCCCGTTGCTGCGGTTGGCGCTTGGGTGCGACTGCTCGGTTCCGGGAGATCCGGTCCATTTAGGGCAGCGGTACCAGTCGTGGCCGTCGCCGCTGCAGAGCCGACAGATGTGGGAATAGAGGCAGTGGTCCGGATGCTTCTGGCAGCGGCGCTCATTCCATTCGAAGCATGGAAATTCCTTGCGTGGGCGGTGGGGGAAGGGTGTGGGTCCGCGCGGTCCTGGTGCTGCCGGCCCACGTTGAAAGGCACCAGGCGCTCGAAAGGGATATGGCCCAGGTCGAGGCCGAAACGAATTTACTGCGACCGATAACGTACCAGAGTGAAAATGCTGATGAATTAGGCTCGAACACGAATTAAAATCATTTAAAGCGCAGTCATTTTCATCTGCGAAAATTCGAAAGGCGTCGTCAAATTGCAACGCTACGATAGCCCTGTAGTCACGACGTTTATTAGCAAGAAATTCCACGTATTCTGTATACTCTTTTAGGGTTTCTGCGCGATCGGGTAGGACTGCTAACCGACGAATGATAGACTGACAACCCGCCATAAAATCATCATAACCAATATCGAGTGCCCCGACATTTTTCGAACCAGACATAT